ACAAACAGCCCTGATATGAGCTGGTTGGCACAGCGGTAACACACACGCCTTCCATGCGATGGGTCCGGAGCTCAAAGCCCAGGTGGGACGGTGAATATGCACTACTGATGAGCTTTAATAAGAGCGAAAATCGAGTCTAGTGATTCCCAGTGTATCGTTGGTTGGAAGAACTAAGGAATGTACTAAAAGGTGAAGGCTAGTTTATTCCAATCAACATGTTTTCGTGTTTGACAATCAGTACAAAAATCCTCATCATGTATACCTGTCGATAGGGTTGTGATGGCGCAGTGGTTTAATCGCTGTCACTGGCGTGCTTTGTACCCTACGGTCCGAGGTTCTAGCTCCGAGACTGCCGCCCAACCGTGGTGGCAGGCAGCTTATGTTGTCCGGATCAGTACAACGCCTAAATTAACAGGGCCTTATGTGGTTCGCCACTCCAAGTCCCAAGGCTTGGGTTACCAGTTTCCATCAGTAAACAGCAGGTCTTGGTGACTATCGGATCTATCTTGTTTGCTGCTAACCACACAAAATAATGATGATAAGAACAATCGGCTGACTTACAGTATGAGCTCAGTTGATTCCGAACGGCTCTTATTTGTTTGCATTCTCACTCCGCGGTCGGTGAAAAGCATTTATGACTAAAACCCAAACATGAAAACTTGCACAAGTTCCGTAAATGCCACCCAATGCAAAAAAGTTTATCTTGTGTTCACGACCAAAGAAAGTAATACAGACTAGTATTGATGGCATGGTGTGGAAACGGAAGGATGCTTTGAAACCCAGTGAAATAAAAGCAACGAGTGCAAATGATACAATATAAATTCACTGATTTTTAAAACAATGGGGTGAGAAAGACTGGAACCATGCACAAGACCACAGAGATATCAACAACACATAGCTATAAGAAAGAGACGGAAGTAAATATCACGTGACAGATATCTGAATAGGTAGACAATTGTGTTTAATCCACCGACTCAGAGAAATAATAGTAGGTATTCGAAGTGAAAAGCGTTTAGAATAGGATTTCATAGATGAAGAAAGCAAATCAGATCAGCTCGATTTCAGAAGATTGTAGCGCACATGAGTTCGCTCTTTCCCAAATGACCTCGATGAAACATTAGAAGGCGGTTGTATTCTAGTGTCTTGGGCAACACGGCTCAACCGATTGTGAGCCTCTCTGGAACAAACATCTTCTAGGAACGTGCGTGAGTTGTGCATGAAAGAACCACCAAGAATTATGTCCACATCTGGTGTGGATGCATTCAATTTGTGCACTGCATGTGCCTCTTCATAGGTTGCACCACCGACAACGAATACAATTATTTTTCTTGGTCGCTGTCCGGATTGTACGGAAGCCCAGGATGTACCAGAAGATAGAAAAGGAAACGCAGTATCCCGTAGCTTTCCTTTGAGTAGATCGGTCAAAATTTCAGTTAGTAACGGTTCGTGTTGTGTATACACATTATCCACACCTTTCAGACCTTTGACTAAACGTTTGGTTAAAGATGCCACCGCGCTGGATGCAGTTTGACCATTTAATGCATGTGAACCTCCGGTAACATTCTTCATGGCACCAAATAGTGTAAGACCATCAGATCGCGTCCGTGGACCAGTGTAATTTAGCAGCTGTTGTACTTTATGCAAATCGTCTTCACTAGCACCGCGTTGCACCAGCGATTTCATCAAATTGTTAAGTTCGTTTCGCTGATTATCGTAACGTAAAGCATACAACAGAACCAACCGAACTGCGTCTGAGAGTCGTACACGGGGATCATGAATTAAACCTCGAATTTGCGAAAGACTGGCTGAGTGGTTATCGTGACAAACAAGCTCTTGTTCTGCTTCGCTCAACTCGAGAAGTGCGTGTTCTTTTACCAGTCGGGACAACTCGGATACAATAGTGACATGAGTTTCCACGGTTCCAGAAGCTTTCCGAAATGAAGGATAATGTTCCAGGAACTTTTTCAAATCAGCAATCGATTCCACATTTTTAGTGTCCACCGACTTCGAGGCAGCTTGAAATTCTTCCACAAGCTTTTTTATTGACTGGCCGATCTCACCAAAATTAGCGAATTGATTGACACGAAAGAACTCGTCGAATTCTCGGTTCAAACTTACTTCTTTCAGTTCTGGTCTAATATTAGGTGCCCGTGAGAGATCTACACGGTTCTGACGAATACCAAGCAGCTCATGGATCATGGCTTCATATGTCCACTGTGTCAGAAGTGGAGTAACCGGATCGTGTCGTCTATCGAGGATCAACAATAGAGGACTATCACTAGACTGTTTGAAATCAAACAGAACCGTTTCCCGTGAAATTAGAGAACGAATGGACTCGGCTAGATGACGTGCAGATTCTGACGCGTTTTGATAACGAATAATCGGACTCTGTTTGAGAGCCAACAGAACCGATGTAATTCCTTCCGAGCAACGTTCCAGGACACCGGGTCGAAGATCTCGAGTTCCCTGAATAATTGTGGGTAAGTCAAGATCAAATACAAACGGTGACAAAGGCATGAAATCGGCGAAGTATTCGTGCACTTCAGCCACGACTTCGTGTTCATCCGCTTCAGCCAGTTGCTTTAAAAGTTGTTTGGTTAAAGAATGACTGAAAAATACGTAATAAGCGAAGTAGTTCGGTTTCCGTAGTTCTTGTGAGAGTAAATTTATGTTTTCTTTTGTGGGCCGTAGAAAACAGATGCAACGAAGGTGTTCCAATGGTTCCCGTGGTAAGCTTATACGATCGATAAGGTAAACCTCTTGTTTCATAATTTCGGACATCGATGACACTAAACTGATGATCTTTAGCGTATCATCATCTAGTAACAACACTTTCATTCCGGTGCCAGCCACATTCAGCATCTTGGACAAGTAGTTCTTAGCTGCCAAATAGACATCCATTTTATAAATCCACTTGAATTCTAAAATGATCAAGTAGAGTTCATCAAACAGTGCAGTGTTATGAAGTAAAAACATAAAAAGCACATGGGAATCACAAGACCAAGTAGAAGAATGATGTTCACCATAAAGTACAGTGACGATTGAATTCCTAATAAACCTTCGAATTATCAGTGAAGAGCGTGGACCATGATCGCCAGCGGAGGAATAATTCCTCAAACCAGACGACATATAAAAGAACAAAATTAAGAGAAATTGCGAGATCAAACGCGAACCCCAAGAATATTCGGGTTCGATGTCTCGAATGAATTTTTATAAACTGCTTTAAATTTGCAAAATCCAGGGATATATACGTACTGAGAGGCATATGATTGCCTGCACAAAAACTTCCCACAGCGTAGGACTGATTTCGCGGTCGCTGCCGCTCATTGGGTATGCATATTCGATAATGTTTTACCTGTTCATTCCTATACTTGAACTCCCGATTTGAATTAGGGAACGCAAATTCCAGTTGCGCCTAATGGATTTGATTTTGAGACGCAACAAGCCTCGAAGAATCATTGTGATCGTTCGAAGCTTGTTTCTCTCAAAATGAAATCCCCGAGCTGCAAATGCTATTTTGGTTGCTAATTATATACATATATATTGGACAGCTACGGCCCGCCCAAGATGGGCAGCCCCAACTAATTAAGTGCAATCCCGTCCACGTTCCGTTTGTCTCATTGGGTACATTTTTTTATTACACAGTGTGATTTACAGGGGTCGAACCCATAATACATCATATACTGTAAGGGGGAGATATGTAAGAATCAATTTGGTAATCCTGCTTTTGAAAAGGATAAGGTTATAGTAGCTGAGAAACACGGAAATGGGAAGTGTTTCACAATCTCGTAGTCCTGGGGAAAAAAGATTGAAAGATAGAAGTCCGACATCTGAGGACAGAAACCTGATAAGGATAACTGCCCGCCTGAGAACGAGATGGATGAGAGAAGATCATTGGAAGGGGAACCGCTGGCGCGATTTCGGAAAAGTAGAAACCCAAATATTATCGATAGAAAAGATATAACGAAGCCACTACCCGACAATGGGAAAGCGACTGCAGGTTGGAAGTTAAAAACGGTTTGTCGATCAGCGGGATGGCCTTACGTTGAACACGGTTGAGGAGAGAAAGAGCGGAATACGAAGCTCCATTCCGTACGTGACTGCAGTATTCAAGCATCGGGCGGATTTGAGCTTTGTATAAAAGAAGGTGATTGGGCAAAAAAACGCTTTGCGCGGAATAGAAAACCAAGTTTGCGCGCAGCGCGAGAGGCAAGTGTACAAAAAGGGGACCCACAGAGAGAAGAAGTTATGGATAAACCCAGGAGGAAGACAGAACTTGTGGAACAAAGGAGAGAATTAAAAATCAATTGACAAGAATATAGGACACATTTA